TGGATGGGGCAGCAGTCCCGGGGGAAAGGGGGGCAGATAGGAGGCGGGGGCTGGTCCACAACCACCTTCCCTAACCAGCCCTCCATACAATTTATGAAACCCGATGTGGCCCTCAGGCCAAAAAATTTTCCCACCCCGATGTAGGGGGACAGATACTTGAACAATTTAACCAAAAATACATTTTTTTCTGTGCACATTGATCCATGGGGGTTTGACTGACTCAGGCTTATATGTTGATCTGAAATACAATGTGAAATATATTCCTGCCTCTGCACATTGATAGGCAATGAGATAAAAAGCGCAGGCCAGGTCTCCACTAGAAAAGGTGTCCCGGTATAGTTCTACCTCTATAGCTATACTGGCAAACCCTACCAGTGTAAATGTGCTCATACCGGGTACCACTTATAACTAAGGCTGCGAGTCTGTCACGGAGATCACGAAAGTCACGGATTCAGTGACTTTCTAGGACCTCTGTGACTTCCGCAGCAGGCAGGCATGACTGATCCCAGGGCCACCCAAGCAGCCCAGCAGGCCCTGCCCAACAGCGGCGGTCCTGAGCTGCCTCCTGCCAGCAGCAGCACGGTGGTCCTGGGCCACTTCCACTGAAGTCAGTGGGTCTCCACTTGGGCAAAGGGTCTGTCCCAGCACATTCTGATGCAAAATTGATGTTATGGTTTTTAAAGTGCTTTGGGATTCTTGTGACAGTCTGTATCCTTATGTCCACCCCTTTTTCAAGACTATGATAAATTTTGTACAAACTATGCCTTGTAAGGTATCATCTGAAATCATGATTTGCTGATCAGTATTGTCCTGGTAAAATATGTGTGGCAATGTTGTATGTAAAGTTATAAGATTGTAGTGCATGATGTCACTAAGGCATCTAAATCTGGGGAAGCAGCCACAAACCAGTTCCTCAGAGACAAAAGGCAAACTGATGCCTCCGCCAGGTGCCAGTGAAATCAAATGGACTGCCATCTAGTTAAGTGGCCATTCTCCAGCAGGAAAATGGGTGTGAGTGAGAAATTTACATCTTGGCAAAGAAACAGCTGGAGGTTCCCATCCCCACAAACTTTCTGTCTCCTGAACCCCAGCTGGAGATGATTCTCAAAGAAAAGGCAAAAGTATAAAAATGGGGAACAGACGTCCCAAGTTATTCTGCCCCTTTTCTCTACCTACAGCAGCCACAACACCTGATGAAGAAAGAAACAGCTTTGGACTGAGGGAGGGATCCTATCTGAAAGGAATTCAGCCAGGAAAGCTACCACCCCTCATTCAGGGTGGGTTTTTTTATTCCCAAGATAGCTCTCCCCTGGCGATAAAGCATGTGCACACTGCCCACGGCACAGTGCTGCCACAGCTGTGCTGTAACATGGGCAGTGTCGACACCCTCAGACTGCTGAAGCATGTGGTGAGAGAGACTTTTGCTTTGAATCCACTTAGCTTGTTAAGTTAGGCATTAGTTGTGTTTTACTTTTGTTTTCTTGTAATCAATTCTGACTTTTATGACTCATTACTTGTAATGACTTAAAATCTTTCTTTCTGTAGTTAATAACCTTGTTTTATTGATTTATCTAAATCAGTGTGCTTGGATTGAAGTGTTTGAGAAACTCCATTTGAGATAACATGGTTTATGCATATCATTTTCTATTAATAAAATGACAGACTTTATATGAGCTTGTGTTGTCCACGAGAGGGCTGGGCAGTACAAGATGCACATTTCTAAGGAAAGTCTGGCACCAGGAGTTTTCTGGTGTTGCTCTGCAGTGTAATTCAAGAGTGGCTGGCCATAGCACTCAGCCAGCATAGCTGGGAGTAATTTACATGCGGGAGGCTTGTGTGTGAGCAGACCAGGAGTAGTTGCTCTCACAGCGAAGCAGTGTAAAAGGCACCCCAGGCTGGAGAACTGAGGTGACTCAGCTGTTTAACAGTCCAGATTGTACCCGGGGCAATGTCACAGCGCTTCAGTGTGAAAGGTGCTATATTATTACTTGTTCTTAATCAAACATGGTTACTATTTTGGCCAACACAAGACAACATAATTCTCTAGTTGTGTTTAGTTTTGCCCTCTACCCATCGGGGACTGGTGGCATACAGGATCATTTCCAATATATTTCCTTTCTGGCTTCCAGGCTACAGTGCTATTAAACTATTCGTAACATTTAGCGATCTTCAACATTAGTAGCTCTGTCTTAAGTGGGAGGGTGAGTTTTCCTCAACTTTACATCTTGACATATGAAACTCTTGAGTGTGCTTCTTATCTCAGCCCCTTGAAAATTTGCCATGATAGTAGCATTTCTGAAAAGATATTTCAAATCTGAATTTAAGCCTGACCCGGTGCCTGATTCTGTGCAATGCTGAGTGTCCTGACTTCCCATTTGAGTCAATCAAATAGTCCAAGAAAACATTGTAAAAAGCAAAAGAGGGTCCTGTGGCACCTTTGAGACTAACAGAAGTATTGGGAGCATAAGCTTTCGTGGGTAAGAACCTCACTTCTTCAGATGCAAGAAAACATTGGGACTTCAGCTCCACGTTCTGAGAGTTTGAAGTCAGTGGAGGTTGAGAATGCTCAGCATCTTTCAGGATTGAGCAATAGCCGTTGTTTTTAGCACACAGCTGAAGACAAGGAGTTAATAAGTACTTTACGCACACAGGTTTGTACATAGTAGAATACACAATAAATCATGTGTATTTTCTTTTTTTCTCCCCTGTTCTCAGTGCTACAAGAATGTGGAGTCGGTTCTCCCTTTGGCATGTGTACCTAAGTCTCATCAGTCTCAACATAAATTCTGCATGAAGGGGAGAATAAACATTGAAAGTTTTTAAACAGTCCAAGGTAGGAGTCTGCTAATGTCAAGATGTACATGAGTCAATGCTAAAGTTGTCAGTTTGACTTGACTGTGTCTTTTTCTTAAATATTTTTGTAATATGAATCTTCTTGCTTTGAACTAGCTTTAGCATAAGCAATGCAAAGTCCTGATGTGTGTAATCAGGACAATTACATCTCTGCAGCATCTTTTGGTAAAGATGTAATAATACTTAGTGCTTTTCATCTTCAAAGCATTTTACAAAAGTTTGCTAACTAATCTGCCCACCCCACTGAAACAGGTAAATGTTATTATCCTCATCATCATTTGACACGTGGAGAAACTGAGGGAGAGAGTTTGTGGCCCAAGGCCACAAAGTAAGTCAGTCAAAAATGAGATTAGAACTCAGGAGTTCCTGCCTCCTAGGCTGCACTCAGACCATTAGACCACACCTCTAAACCAGTTTTGCAGTGTAGTGGATTAGCCTCTTTGAGAACAGAGGTTAATCTTTGTTCCCACAGACATTTACATATACAGTATAGCTGTACAGTGCTGCACACCCGCACAGAAGTGCATGGCCAAGATTTCAAAAGTGATTAGTGATTTTGGAGGGCTCAGTATTGGAGACCCCCAATTTCAGACCCCTTACAACAGAGGTGCGGAACTGACGGGCCATGGGCTGGGTCCAGGCCCTTGCTCATTTTCATCCAGCCCACGAGCCACACACGTTCAACTCACCTGCAGAGGGGGGTGCGCTGAGACTCGGGGCTCCCCCCCGCAGCGGAGTGAGCCGGCACTCGCAGCTCCGAGTCTTGGGGCTTCCCCCCCATGGGGCTGGAGCCACAAGTGTTGGCTCACCCCTCCGCGGGATGGAAGCCCCTGCGCCCCCCTGGGCAGGTGAGTTGAATGTGCGTGGCCCACCATTGATTTTTTTCGGTGGTTCAGTGGCCCCTGATACAAAGAAGATTCCTCACCCCTGCCTTACAAGGCCTGATTTTCAGAGTTCCAAGTGACATATTTGGGTATATACTGTACACACACACACTCTCACTGTAAAACTAGCTCAGCTCTTGCGTCTCACTTACCCTAGGCCTCTTTACCCTTTACATTTAACAGTGTAAAGGGCCTTAAAACTGGTGTAAATAGAGTTTACTCCTACTTTAATGCCCTTTTGCATTGCTAGAGAGGTGTAAAGTAGCCTAGTGTAAGTGAAAATCAAGCTTTTATGCATCATAAAATTATAATTTAAATAATGAAAATGTTAGTCATTTGCCAAACCATTCCTACCCATCCCCCAACCCTTACATATTGGGGAGAAGTAGAGAAAAAAAAGCATTGTGTATTTCTTCCACTTTTGTAAAACTGACATGAGATTTCATTGAAAAACTCTTGCTTATTATTATTCAGATAAATTGATTTACATCCCATCGTTTACAATCTGAAGAACAAAGAGCTCCCTCTGGGGAAAATGCAAGGCTATAATTTTGTTTCAAGGGGTTCTGTGATGTCATAAATAAAGACTGAACAAAAATTATAACCTCTTTAGTAATCCCATAAATGGTGCTTTTTTTGATAATATATGGTCGTCCTGAAACATGTTGCTTTCATATTTTTTGAAGTGCCCGCTCCTAATTGAACGTGGCTGCTGTGGAGAGCTGACTACATCTTCAAAACACAGCTGTGTGACAGGTGAAGCAGCCCACAATGATAAATGTTAGGTTTAGAACTTCAAGATTACAACCTACTGATGAACTGTCATCGAATGAGATTCCATTTTCCACTCCTGACGACATTTTAATTTTTACCTATTTAAACCAGAGTTACCAAAAACATTTTCCTACCAGGAACAGATGCAGTAGATGCACATTTTAAAATATTTAATTCACAAACCAATCTTGTTACCCATGAATGAGTAAATAAAAGATCCCTCTGAAATCTCAGAAATTTGTATATTATGAGCCAGATTCTTAGCTGGTGTAAATTGAGGTTGATTTATGCTAGTTGAGAATCTGAATATATGTATTAATAGAGTTAAATTAGTGGTGGGGGGGGAGATAATGAAAGGTCCATACAAAACAACAGGATCTCAACTCCATCGCTTTCTGAGAGATTTCTAATATATGAACCAGATCCTGGTCTCAGTTATATTGGTATAAATCTGCAGTAATTCCACTGAAATCATTTGGTCTCAGTCCAGAGTAGCTCCATTGTTGAATTTTTACTGATATAACTGAAATCTGTGGAACAGATGGAGTACCTATTTTTCATTCATTTTGCAACATATACTTGTCTCTCAGTCAAAGCAAATGAAATATATATATTTCTCCTAATGTGATGCATGCATCATACGTATATCATGTAAGTGTCAGTGTATATGTTTTGTCCCATACATCAATCAAGCAAATCACACATTAAGGTTGATCCTATGTCTGTGTGTAGACTGCACTATTGAACACAGAATCTGACATAGGTCTAGGGAATGTACTTCCTATGTGAAAGAAACTCAGGTAGTTTCCCCACAAATTTTGGGTCATCCAAACAGGGCCGGCTCCAAGGTTTTTGCCGCCCCAAGCAGTGCAAAAAAAAAAAAAAAACCAACCGTGATCGCGATCTGCGGCGGCAATTCGGCGGGAGATCCTTCGCTCCAAGCGGGAGTGAGGGACCGTCCGCCGAATTGCCGCCGAATAGCTGGATGTGCCGCCCCTCTCTGGAGTGGCCGCCCCAAGCACCTGCCGCCTCTCTCTGGAGTGGCCGCCCCAAGCACCTGCTTGGCAAGCTGGTGCCTGGAGCCGGCCCTGCATCCAAAAATGAGAGGAGGCATGCCCTGCCTCAACCAGCTGCTATGAAGGAAACACCACAAATTGAAATTCATGAAGTTTCCTGCCACACTCATGGGATTATTTTCATGATTTAACACCACATCAGCAGCTGTGCAACTGAGCAAGAAACAAAAGCAGTATTTCTAACTCAGTCTTATAAAAGTACTGTAATTGTATTAGAGATTTGTTGATCTGAAAGATGAACCAAAAAAGAAATGTCAATTTTGGTATTATTACAGTTTCTTTTACTTTTATTAAATAAAACTGCTAACAACATATAGTCACAGTTTTAAATTTAAAGGTACTTGGTATTAGTTTTCATGAAGATCAATATTTCAGCTGGTTTTTGTAGTTCTGACTGTGAGTATCCATCCACTCTCTGGAATGTGTCAAAACAGTAGCTCAGCAATGATGGGATACTTTGTCATATGGATGCATTAATTAGAGCAGGGGTTCTCAACCTTTTTCTTTTTGAGCACCCCCCGCCCACCCCCAAACATGCTATAAAAACTCCACGGCCCACCTGTGCCACAACAACTGGTTTTCTGCTTATGAAAGCCAGGGCCAGCATTAGGGGGTAGAAAGCAGGACAGCTGCCCAGGGCCCCATGCCACAGGGACCCCCACGAAGCTAAGTTGCTCAGGCTTTGGTTTCAGCCCCCGGTGGTGAGGCTCTGGGCCCCGGGCTTCAGCCCCATGCAGTGGGGCTTCAGCTTTCTGCCCTGGGCCCCAATGAGTCTAACACTGGCCCTGCTTGGCGAACCCCCTGAAACCTGCTTGAGGCCCCTCAGGGGGCCCTGGACCCCTGGTTGAGAACCACTGAATTAGATGTTTTAGGTGTGCACAACTCAGCTTCTCCACTTGTGTATTTTTTATCTATAATCCTTCTCAAGTGCAGACAATGTCACTTACTACAGAAACATTGTAAGTAGAGTTTTCCGATCATCGTGACATGCTCAGATTTACACAAGAAACACGCAGAGTTGTACTCTGAAGGAAAGTGGATATCCCTTTGGACAATATTAATGTTACTCTAGGAACTAATCCTGTTCAGATGAACTCAGTGGGAATTTTGCCACTGACTTGAAATGGGAGCAGGATGAGATCTTTAATTTGTATATTCAGTGCTTAGACGTCACAGTGACAGGTGTGTTGGAAATATCTAAAATAGATAGATTACAGTAAAAGGTAAGTCTTCACATTTACAGAAGAAAGATTGTGTGTGTGCATATCCTAAAAAATGAATACTGCAATACAACTGTGGTATTTTTTTCTGTGAATAATTAAACACTAGTAATTCTACCCCAAGCATTTTTGCCAGATGATTCATAACTAGATTCCATTCAATGAAGGATAAAGGTAAATCTGAATACTATCCTTGATAACTCACACTTTGAATTTAGCTGTCACTGGAGAATGAGAAAAATCCCATTGCTTTCATTTACCAAATGCAGTATTATGACTGCTGCATTGAAACAAGAACTAGAGTTTAGCTTTACTAGACTCAGCTACTTTTCATTTTAACTCATTTCAGGTGACCTAAAATTCAGATGACATAAATACAATCCAGTTTTTACTAAAATGAAAGGTTTAGCAATATCTATTTTGCACTTACTAGCTCCATATAAAGACCTCTAACACAGATTGAAGGCACAAGGAAGTACAGTGCTGGAAGGTAGATGATCAACTTCCAGCTGAGACGAATCTATTGTCTTGGTCAGAAGGAAGTTCCTTTTTGCCTTTTTTTGGAAGGGTTTTTACATAACGTGGACTGTAAGGTCCTGGGTCCAATTCTCAGCGGCAGATCTAGCTTCTTCATACAGCTGTTGTTTTTTCTGACAATGTTGGCACATTATAATTTCAAATTATGATTTGTAAGCAAGGTCTGAATGAGCTCTCCCCTAACAGCTAGTGATGAGCGGGGGGGAGAGGGAGAGGGAAGGCTTCAAGACCAGACTGTATTTTCATGCTCACCTATTTTGCCTAGGTATAGACAGAGCTGTGTTGCCCAAGTGACCAATTTTGGTTGGGTTACAAATCATTTTAGTATTGATTGTTGGGGTCATGAAATGTTGTTATCCTTATTGTATGAGTAAAGGGCAGCAGAACTGTACTTAGCCTGTCCTGACTGAAGGGGTCATCCTCAGTGCTTAATTTTTGCCAGGGCTGAGCCCTGGCACCTCTAGGCTTGGCAGTTCATAGCCCCAGGACCCCTGGGCTTCCTGCATCAGTTATGAAAGTAAAAATCTTGCTTGAGCCCTGGTGCCTCTTTCATTACAAATTAAGCGCTGGTCACCCTCAGCTGAACTGCTCTCACTAAGCAAGGGGTTTGGATGGCAGATCCCAGTGATGTGTGGGGGGGGGAGGAATAACAGGGGTATTGCTTGGTGGTGTGTGCTGTGCCTAAGAGTCACAGGCTCTGTTTGACTTGCTCCTCTCCACTATTTAAAGAGAGAGCTTATTAGGCTCCATAGAGAGTCTTTTGTTTTGTTAAGTGACCACTAGAGCTGAAATCACTAATAATCAGCTCTAAGTGCTGCATGAGCATATCATGAAGGACTGGAAGTACAGGACACATGAGAAGCCACCAAAAATGAATGCAGTGCATTTGAGAAGTTCCTTAAAAGAGCTATACAAAATGACAAGAAGAAACCAAGGAGGATATAGATCTAGTGCTTCATAGGAGGCTTGTGTAGCCAACTTTAATTTGTGTGATAATTTAAAAACATGAGTTAAATCTAATAAAATGGTTGTGAAACATTTTTCAGTGTTTACTATGGTGCCATACAGCCCACCTTCGCCCTAACAGTCTCACCCCTCATCAGTCAACACCCACCCTGATTTCAATTTCTGGGGAAAACATTGCAAGTATGTCACATTATATGTGGTCTGGGTGAGGCCCAAATGGTTAGGGCATGTTCTCTATCTGGTACTGTATTTTACAGATGCAACTTAGACAAAAATTTGCACTCCTGGGACCAAATTTTGCATTTAGATACTCATGTTTACCTCCTATTGATTTCAGTAGGAGTTGCTCCACTGCACGGATGAAATCCATTCTACCCTTATAAATCCCAAACAATCAAGATCTAGGCTGATGGTGCACAGAAGTGTTAGGGAGGTGAGGCCGACCTTGCAAACCATAGACTGGGCCTGGGCCTGTTGTACATCTACTATTCCAATTTATTGACAAGAATAGCAAACAGCTCCTCGGTGAGTGCTGGGGCCACTGGGCCTAAACATGGATTCTGTGGGTACCATTTCTTTGGGTCAAACTGCTTTATGGAATTCTATCCTGGCCTATGGAGGCCCAGCATGGAGAGCCTTTCTGCCATACATAGGGTTATATAGGCACTAGTACCCTTATCCACTGTGCTGCTCCTACCGGGGGCTTAAGTAGTGCAGAAGGATTTGCCCTGGCCACCGCACCAGGGGTGAATGTCATCCATAAGCATATCTGAGGACAAAATTTGTCCCACGACGTCTGAGATCATTCTATTCAGAAAAGAAAATGGCACTTGGGAGTCAAAAATGGGATTCCTTTTTCTGAAGCCATTCATCTCCTGTAAACCACATTGTGTTGGTGCACCCTCATTTTCTGAGTCCCATAGTAATGCATGGTGCTGTACAACCACAGAGAAAGGTACAGTCACTGCCGCAAGGAACTGTCTACAGTTAATGTGAAGCTATTGACTTTTATACTGATTACTGAAGTATACTTCTATGGTTAGCTCTTTCCAACTACTAAAAGAGGAAACTACTTTCTGTCTCTTTCTTTCAGTCACTCATACAGTGTTTTAATATCAATAGCATGCAAATATACTGCCACCTGCAGGATAGTGATTACTATCTATTTGCAGTTTGGCAATAGTTAACTTTGAAAATATTTTTCTCCCTATTTATCATAAACACGTGTTATCTTGAAATGGAGATGTTTCCTTGTGAAAATGTTTTTCTCCACTACATTCTAAAGGTGAAATGGCAGTTTTCCCACTGACTTCAATGGAGTCAGAATTTCATCCTTAGAGTTGAGAATGAGAGAGACAGAATTTATTTTATTTTTGCTTACAGGACAGTCCTGTTTTTGATGCAGTTTAGTACCTGCACTTTTAGATGGTGCCCTTTGACTTTTTTATATGTGATATGAACTTCTATGAACAGATCTTCCTACCTAATAAACATTGTGTTTAGTGTGCTGTTTCTGCTATTTGGATCCTGTAAATAATACTTAATCAATCATTTATCAATTTCCCTGCTCTTTCTTCTTAATTTTAGATGACACTGGATACATAGCTACAGAAAAATCTGTTTTGACTACACAAATGTATATATGCATCAGATCACTTCTAAGTTCATTCAGATCACATTTTCTGTAGCTATGCATCCAGTGTCAACAACATTTCTTTTTAATAAATGAAAATCAGAATTCTAAAACATTATAATCTGCTTAAGTTTTAGGACATACAGCTAATTTAAGGTGGAAGAGGGTTAAGAAGAACGGGGGAGGAGAGAGATGATTGATTTATTTACATTTGATGTCCTGATCCCACTGTAAAAGAGAAGAGGAGGGAAGAACCATTGTAGTATATGCCACTCACTGTAACCAGATGAATGTCCCAGAGTTGGCATCAGGGCCGGCTCCAGGCACCAGCCCAGCAAGCAGGTGTTTGGAGCAGCCAAGGGGAAGGGGCGGCACGTCAGGCTGTTCGGTGGCAATTTGGCGGCGGGTCCCTCTCGAAGAAGAAAGTGGCGCGGTG